TGCATAGTACTTAAAATTATTAATACTGTTTTAACTAATTAACTAGTATTTATTTTACATAACGATATATTATAACGATATATATTTTCATAATTAATTTATTATAGATAATGTATAGTTATTATAATTAATATACTTGTATATTTATATGTATTTATAATATTACATTATTAAATGGTATTTTAAAATGTCAGTGAACGACATGAGGTATGAGTGACAGTGCAGCAGCACACGAAAGGCCTCGGGCTGGTTTGGGGTAAAAGCAGCAGGTTTTGTCCCCAGCTGGTGTTGGTTTTTGCCCAGGTGAACGATGCTGAGAGCACGGTGTCGGTGGAGTTCACCCCCACCATCCCACACTGCAGCATGGCCACCCTGATCGGCCTCTCCATAAAGGTCAAACTGCTTCGGTCTCTGCCTGAGAGGTTCAAGGTGAGTGACCACATCACTCTGCAAAGCAAAACAGGGGGATTGTGTTTGGAAAAAAAAAGGGCAACCCCCCCAACTTCATAGTGAAAATAACTAGAGTGTTTTTCATTTTGTGAGTGAGGGAGACACCAGGAACAGAGGGGGCAGTGGGCTGGAACATCAGTGCAGAGTTATGGTTCTGTGACAGTCGTGTCTTGGGGTTTTGGAAGGAAATTACCTGCAGTGCTCTATGGCCCAGGAGAAGGAGAAGTGGGTGCCCCACCCTTGTCTAAAACAGGCTTTAGCAGAGGGAATGCAGAATATGCTGTGATTTTAGACTTCTGTTTTATTCTGTTATATATAATAACTGCTATTGGCAAGAATGTCCATTTTTCCCTCTTCTCGTTACTGTCTTATTTTTATTTAATAGCTTGAACTTCCAGTCTTTTATTAACTCATCCTCTTTTTCTTTTGTGGTGCCTGTTAAGCTGGATGTTCATATAACACCAGGAACACATGCCTCTGAGCACGCAGGTAATTGGTGATTTTCTTTATGTGTATTTTGATCTTGAGAGATTCCCACTGCTGCAGAGCATCTGTTTGGTACCTGGGACTTTGTGTGCGTCAGATGTTCCAGAACAGGAGCACATAATGTCAGAGATTGTTCTGCACCATCCTTTAAGCATCTCCTCAGGCAACCTGTGCTCTCAGCAGTCATTGATTTTCCTGGGAAGTGCAGGACTCGGGAAATGGGGGGAGCTGGGGAGGATTTCCTGTGTCACACCCACACAGCAGCTCCCTGCTGCTGAATCACGGCCAGCTCGCTGCTTTAGCTGATGACACAGGAGCTCTGCCTTTCAGCTGCAGCTCTGGGGTGTGCTTGGCATCTGCAGAACTGCCTGGGCTACCATGGCAACTGTCATTATCTGTCTCGACGTAAAATGCTTTAGAAAAGACACTGTACACCAATGTCCTCACTGGTTTCTTGTCTCCTTTTTTTGTCTCTGTGCAGTTAATAAACAGCTTGCTGATAAAGAACGTGTGGCAGCTGCTTTGGAGAACTCTCACCTCCTGGAAGTGGTGAATCAGTGTTTGTCTGCTCGGTCATAATTGCCTGATGAGGAAATCACTGGTATTCTGCTCTGTTAAACTAATTTTGTATTTATGTGGTGGTGTTACACTATACATATAGCTGTGAGTAAAATAAAATCACTTGGATTTTCTTGAGGAAATGTTTCTTTACTCTTACAAAAAGTACAATGTGGGAATTAGCTACAGGCAGCTACAAAATTATAATGAAAATTGGCTTTTTAATTGTATGAGACATTGCATAGGTAGGATTTTTTTTTTAAAATATTTGTTTCCCCTTGTTTTTAACTGGTTTCTCACTGGTTATAAACTGCATTTTAGAAGTGGATCTTGTACACTGGACTTCACAAGTACACCAAGATAATTTGCATTTAAAATCTTTACATTCACATGACCATTTTGGACTGCTAATATAATTTTAGCTTCAGACATCAAAAATTGTACAGGTTGGTGTGTGCAAAGTTGTAGCACATTTTAGCAGAACGTGTAAACACTTCTAAGTCATGTGCCTAGTTTTAAAATTATATTACCTTGGATTAACCAAATATGAAATGCTCTTTATAAAACATGGTTTATTTTTAATTACTACTTACTTGTGGTAGAAAATTCAGTATCTTTGAGGTAGGGTTTTTTTAATGCACCTGCCACAATATAGGAGTTATTCATAGTTTTCAGTATGAAGAGCCCAGCAACCCTCTGCTGTGTTTGACAGCTAAATGACAAGTTTTGCTTTAAATGTATTGAGATTTAATACTAAAACCAGGCCTACACTTCTGGTTTGGGAAATGTGGCATTCATTAAACTGTTGTCTTTGGCAAACATTGACAATAGAAAAATTCATTAAGAATTAATTTGAACTTTAAAAAGATGTCTCTAGTCATGAACAACATGGAAAAATAACAACCTGTTATCCTGTCAGGTGTTTTGGTGCCTGCACACATACAGTATTACCTTCATCATCATCAGTTATCTGGAGAATAAGTAACAGACTTCCTAAAAAGTAGATTGTGCTCAGCTGTTTGATGGTAATGCTTTACACTGCAGTACTGTTTTCTCTTGGAGGGTCTCAGATGCTGTTTTAAAAAGGGTGAGGTTTATGAGCATTGTGTAAAGCACAGCCTAGCAGTCCAGCCTAGCCTGTTTGAGCAGCTAAGGAAACTTGGGGTGATCCAAGTGTGACATCTAAAGTCACGTAGCAAAATAGGAGAGAAACCAAGCCAAACCTTCCTGTTTCAGAAATGAGCCTCCCTGTTTGCACAGGGCTCCTACAGACAGGCAGCTCTGCAGCAGCCTTGCCTTGCTTGGCTTAGCATCCTTTGAATGGCCAGCACTTGCTGGGATGTATGAATGAAACTGTAAATAAGGACAATATTTATGTAATATCAATATTGGGCACGGGGCAGAATGACCCAGCTTTCCTCTCTGCCACTCGTGTTGAATCACTGGGCTGATCAGTTCTGGCATTGCCAACATTTGCACCACAAATGGAACTTCAGCCATGGTAATGCAGGCAGGCAGCTCATGGGCAGCACACTTGGTTGCTTTGGTTTTGTTTTCTGTTTTTTTGGTGGCTTTTTAAATAGAAGATGAATTTTACTTGCCCAGATTTTGGGGTAGAAAGGAATGCAAATATGTGCCAGGGGGAAAACAGAAGGATGACTAAGCTGCCAACAGATTGCTTCAACCTGCACTCCAAATAGGGAAGGAATCAGTAAATTAGGCTTTGTTGAAGATCTCTACTTGGCTTTCTATATAATACCAGTGTTAAATAATTTATTGGGATGTTGGCACTTGCCTTATCAAACATATCTTACAACCCTGGGGGTGCACTTTATACCATTTAACTTTTCAGAGAAGCAACAGTTAGTGTTTGATGGTTTATATTTACAGTACATAGTTGGGGATGACTTTTCAATAAGGGAAATCTGTTGTGGGATATCAAAGAAAAAGTCTGGCTTCTGTTATTTAGGAGCATAGAACTGGATTACTTTAGAGCTGGCATGTTTGTTGAAGTGATGTGGATGTTATATTTATGATGGAACAACAAACCACAGTTACTTTGCTGAGGATCCCAGGTCCTCCTGTCCAGACTCCCTCAGCTCTGCACTTGCTGAGTTCCAAAAAATCTTCCATCCTGATTTTAATGATCATTATCTGGCTCCTGCTGTACGGAGATAAAGTGGGAGAAGAAAACATTAACTTGTTACAAATATTCCTGTTCAGACTTTTATTTTTGCAAAAAGCTACCCCTAAATTTAGTGTCTGGAATGCTTTGTAATAGGACACATTCCATGAGAAACTACAACCTTTTGGAGCAGCTGTGTTGAATACAAGCAGCCTCATTCATCCAGGAAGAATGCCAGAAGCAGACATGTGCTGCACATTCCTGGGCTGTGGGCAGAGCCTTGCAGGGGTGGCTGGATGGCATTCCCTGCTCCCAGTCTGGCACAGGGGCTCCCTGGGGCAGCAGAGGAACCTGCCCTGGGGTGTGTTGGAGCCCAGACAAACACAGCTCCTGCACCCTCCCTCTCAGGGATGGGCCTGCCCAGCCATCCTAATCCCAGGAGAGAGCAGGATTCTCCCCCTGCTCCCACACTGTCCTTGCTGCCTCGTAGCAGCAACCTGCAGCTTCTCAACACTGTCAATCCCACACTTTCATGAGTGGCCAAGAAGCAGCTCAGCAGCTTTGTATCCAAAGACACAACTGAACTGTCCATGGAAGAACTTCCCACTGGAATGGCACTATCTGTGCCCCCTGGGTGGAGCAGTGTGTACCACACACTGGGCACTCTTAACAAAGTTAGTTCAGTATTCTGGCCGTGCTGAGGAGTGATGAGTCTACGTCAATAAAGTGCTTTGATAAAGATCTCTCTCTGGAGCCTTCATTTATAAACTACCTGTTTTACAATGCCTTTTTTAATAGCTGGTAAAAGCATTTCCCTTTAGCCTGTCAAGCAGAGAACAAGACCCCTTTCCCTTCCTTCACCAAATGCACTGTTTGGCATAAATACAGACTGAAGAAGTGGCAGAGTCAACTTTTTTCCCAAGCAAAAGAAAAGTTTATAGCAAAATCTTTCCAGTGTTGCTATGGAAAGGTAAGTATCAGCACAGAGAACCAGACCAGGGAAGGTCTGCTGCTATATCTCACAGCCATTTGCCAGCAACATTTAATAGAGAGCACATAAAACTTTTCATTCCACAAAATGCTAAAAATAAAGAACGTTTACAAAACATACAAATAGCAGAGAATCCTCATTTTGTGCAACATGCTTCAGTGTTGCCAAAGACATGGCATCTCACTCTGTGACCTCCTCACGTATTTCCTATTATGAATTCATACCTTTTTTGTTTTGTCCTACCTGTAAAGAGCTTTTGCATCCTGCCACAGGTTATCTCCATTCCTTAATGTTCCTCTGTGGATCAAAGGAGCAGCACTGCAGTGATAAGAACGTCCTGGTTGGTCAGATGGATGGAACTCTGCTCTCTCAGCTTCATTCTGCCAACTGCTCAGGGTCCCTTGCCAGTTGTTTGTTTTGTTGCAGCACTCACACCCTTGAGACACCAGGGCTCTCCTCTGCAACAGGAGCTAAAACAGGCTCTGGTTCCTGCCATAGCTCAGATCTCAGGGCAGGACTGCAGGGAGAGAGCAGGGCAGAAGTTAATTTCCAGCAAGCCTGGGGAACAAATACAATGTGGGAGTCAGGAGCACTTACTGCATGGAACCTCTGGGAAGACACAGGAAGAGGAAGAGAAAGAAAAGGCAGGAGTGTGCAACACCTCCCTGTGCTGCCACTGTCACAGAATCACAGAATGTGCAGAGCTGGGAGGGACCCACAAGGACCATCCAGTCCAACCCCTGGCCCTGCACAGGCCCATCCCCAAGGGTCACCCCCTGTGCCCCAGAGGATCATCCAAACCCTCCTG